ATGCAAGTGAGTTAAATTTTAATTTTGTCATTGTTTTTTTTTTGCTGTCTTCTTGAGGGATTAAATAACTCTGAATATGCAAAATCAATAATCTGAAAAAAATAAAATTAAAAGGAGACTCGTAGTCTTATACAAGTATTTGTATAACATTTATTGTTTTCTTTTACTATAAAATAATTCGTTTGAAATCGACTTGATACAGAATCATTTCCAACAACTCTCTTTGCAGCGATATAGATTACAGACATAAAATTAAAGTTCTACATATTCGGAAAGTTTTAGAATTTTTACAAGAAAATATTTCAAATCTTTTTTGTTACAGATACTTTTATAAAGAACTTTATAAAGAAGTTTTGTAAAAAATGAAACTTTTTATTCAAAAGCGTGTAATTCCCAGAAAAATCAGTATTTTTCAAAAATTCTACACACTTCTCCGATTATGTAGAAATTAAACGTCTTTGAGCTTTTTCTTTATGTCAAATCTATGCTACCTGAAAATGATACTGCTTTGAAACAATTCCAACCTAGCTATCCCGTAAAAGAAAAAAAAAAAAAAAAAAGAAAAGAAATATACAATACAGGAAAGTAGAGTCCTTATTCCAAATTTTCCTTTAATTAATAATTCTTTTCTGAGGAAAGATTAGAAAATTTTGTACACTCAAAGTGGCCTGATCCCTTAAAAATAGATAATAAATTCAATCTTGATCTCTCCTTACAATTATTCCCCCCTTTCTTTCTCCAGCGCAGGAGTTCCCGCTATCAAGAGCAACATCCCCCGAGGAAGTACTGTACAAAGCTCAGTACGGAGTTTACGAAAAGATGAGAAAAAAGATGCAGTCGGACTACGCGAGCCTCGATCCTGTCATTTACGAGCTGTTAACGCGTCGAAAGTACGAATTCCCCGATCCTCGACAGGGAGACAAAACCTGGTCAGATTGGAGGGAGGAGATACAGCTTCAGGAGGAGGAAGAAAAATGTAGAGAGGAAAGGACGTTAATTCTACGAGAGTTCGAAGCGTTGCAAGGCAAAGTGAGGAAGTTACTGGACGCGAACGAAGCCAGCCCTGAAATAGAGAAGCTTCCCGTGTCGTTTTTCGATTTGGATCTCGCGGGTCGTGATCAGAAGTTGAAAGCTGGCCGCGATATCTGCGAAGATCTTCATTTAGAACTCGAGCACAACATCTCCGAGATGCAAAGGGTGTCTCGATGGATTCGCGAGACTTTCTGGAATCGTCAGGAGGTCGTGGGCAAATGTCTGTACGCCATCTTAGGTAGTACGCTGGTCACCAATTATCCAGAGTTCGCCGAAGAACCAGACGAGAAATACCATTTACAGTGGGCGAAATTCTGCAAGAAAACTGCGTACAGTAGCCTGGAGAACGACGAATTCGTGCCTTGGAGAATTTACACCACGGAGGAGCTGCAAGTCGAGCTGAATAAGAAGCACAAGTTACATCGCGAGCACGAGAGAAGGTTGGATTTGTTGATCGATAACGATGAGCAAGAACTGGAGCAAGAGAGGATAGCTATTGCTAAGGCAGAACTGGAAGAACAAAAAGCGATGGGAGGCAAGATGCTTTGCTCTTTGATAAAGACAATTAGTGTCGTTTAGATCGATGACAGTTCTGGCGAAATTTCACTTCTTTTTTTTTTTTTAAAAAGTTAAATAGTTAATATAATGTAAATATAAATAATCAAATTCAAACATCAACTTTTGTAAGATTTTTTTCTTTCTTTAATGAAAGATAAATTCATTTTCCACGGACTTTTATCGGTCAATGTAGAATAACCTAAATTTCATGTACCGTATTATACAGTTTCATTGAAAATCTGTGCAAACAGGATGTTTAATGTTTAAAAACATTTATTTGTCCATCGTGCACGTGGGTTATCTTCATCTCTTTTTAAAATCTTATCATTCGCACGTTTATTCGAAGGTACCACTACGCATCGATACATCGAGCAGTCATCTTACTACGCTCAAGTTGGATACTACGGATTCGGCCAGATGATGACAAACAATCATTTGCTGCTACACGACTGCAAAAGGCTTCGTGCTTTCTTCAACCAGTCGTTCAACGAAGTATACACAACAAAGGAAAGAGAGATGAAGGTGATACGCGAAAGGATCGACAGGATACGTTATATCGACTCTGAATTGAGGACTATGTTTCACCGACACGTACCTCACATTCCTGTTGATCCTCAATGGCACTGGCAGGTTAATATTTAGTTCAGTCTTATAAAATCATTTAAGGAAAGATAAATTTAGTTTAGATTTGTAAAATAATTCAAGAAACAGTTGATTTAAGATTTTTGTAACAATTTTTATATTTCACACTTTGCAAATTAGAATCAAGATTACAATCAAGAGTACAAATTTTACATCTTCAAAGCTAGAGTCGGACAATGTTTATGACATGGAATTAAAATTAAAATAATTTTGTATTTTCACTGCGTTTATAAGTTATATGATAAAGAAGCTTTTAACAAATATTTTCTTTAGATATATCATTTTATTCATTATTATCAGTTACACCATACATCGTTTGATATCTATCCAAATTCTTGTTTAAGAATATTAATATTCGAATTCTTCCAATCTACTCTTTTTGTTTGTCTTTTACAATGTTCTGTTGATGAACGGTGTAACAAAATATCTTTTTCTTTTTTAAATAATTTCTCTGGATTTGGATATTCTACGTTATCATTCCAGAATTACGATCGATTGCACATCTGTTTATATTCTTAAAAACAACGTCAAATCTTCGAGATACACATGAATCAAACATTCTTTATTCATACTACATGTGATTCCTTATCTTCTTGATTTTATACTTCTTTTTATCTAAATTTCAAGGGTTTCGAATCACGAAAAAAAAAAAGAAAAAAAATACGAAATTTCAAATTTTCGAACCTGGAGACTTTCTAAGATGCTATCTTAATGATCCCTACTAATAATTATCTTATTGTTAGATCGACGAACTCGTAATATGCTAGAGGCGCCATCTTTATCCGCGAGTTCGCGACCCATTCAGTTTCCTTTTTCGCGTGTAGGAAAGGCCGGAGAGCATTATCAAGGTGCTGGATCACGAGGTGAAGGCGAAACCGTACATTTCTCCGTCGCAGCAGGAATTGTTGGATAAGCAAGCGGCCGAGGAAGAACGGATCAGACAATCGTTGCTTGCTGACGACTTTCGCGAACGCGCCCTAATGGCGATGATGGACGGCGTTCTGGAGATCCGATGGGAGGACACCATCAAGATAGACGTCCCTAAACCGGCTTGCATGCTCGAGAAGAAACCGGAAGACTATACATCCGAGGATATATTGGCGGTGAAACAGTACGAGAACGACGTGCAATTCCTTATGGAGGAACGGGAACGTTACAAGAGGATGCTGGAGGCGGAATATGGGAGAGTCATGGAGCTTTTGAAAGAAGGGATTGACAAATTTAATGGGAAGCTGAACGACCTGTTTCACGTAAGTTTCTCTGTTAGTAGAAAAAAAAGGGGATAAGAGAAAGAAAATAAAATACAATCACTTGTATTGATTAGAGGAATTAGTGGAAGTTCAAATTTTCCATTAAAAATGATCTATGCCGTAGAAACATACACTTTTCTTGAATTAAAATTTCAAATTGATAGAATAATTTAATTATGATAATTATGTTGCAATAAAATATCAAATACAATATTAAAATAAATGTTATA